ACTTCAAGTGAAGTGCATTTTATTATGTTCAGTTCCTTGTTCTCCTGAGGACTCCTGATGTAGTAAATTGAGGTGTGAAAATCTAATTGGTTGAGACCCTGCTTGACCCTGCTATAGATTGCTGAAGTTCTTTCACCTATTGCTGATCTCATACCAAATTTAAGGCTGGGCAAACTTCTTCACCTTTCTAGAACTGAGATTTTAATAAGACACTAAGTCACTTAGCCTTGACATCCGACACCCTGTTACCTACCCCATCCCTTTTCCCAAAGGCCAATGTAATCACCTTCCACTTTGTTTGCCTGAATCAACAGCGTCAGCATCAAGCAACCATGTGTTTCTAGAAACACAACCTAGCTACGTTCACCCTCCTTCTCTTTCCTCACTGTATTACTCTGGAGGCCTAAGGCTTCTGGGACCATAATAACAGAGAAAAGTCTGGACCAGCATGGCAGGGAATGTTTGTGACTCACTTTGGAGCATCTGCTCCTGTTTGAATGAACCCTTAAAGAGCGTTTTCACTTTTGGCATTTCAAATTGCTCAGTGTAGGGGTACAAAATAGACTCTGTGAATAAGAATGTCTGAGGGAGTTCTAGAACTTTCCTACTTAAGTCCAAATTCCTTTGGATCTCAAAACTAAAACAGGATTCCACTCCTCTCATGTCTTCATTTAGAGTAGGTCCAATCCTGGTATCAATTCACTGTCCTTGGCATCCTCAGAACCAGGTGGGTCTTCAGAATACTGGTTAGGGGTGCTCAGTAGCCTGACATCCCTGAGTCCTTCAAAACCATAAACAATGGCTTTCCAATTGTTTTGAGTCTATTCTCAGCTTCTGGCAATTGGCTATACACCAGGAAATTCACACACATTGAAGTAGCAGAACTATCCAGTCTAACAATGTTAGTCCAATTCATTTACCCACATCATTGATTCTCCCAAGTGATTTCTCTTGCTTAGGTTTATGTGAATCCATTCTGGATTTCCCTTTGCAGACTGCTCTCTATTAAAATACCCCTACATCAAGATGAGATGTACTATCAGCCAAAGAATCACAACAGCCTACAATTACGGTGCCTTTCCAAATATACCCTTTCCTTATAGAGGATGGGCTTTTTTTTTTTAATTTCTCACATTCTGCACTCCATTTACACTGGCTGCCACCATGCCTGGAATGCATGTCCGTCTTTGGACCTTCTAGATTTTTTAGCACTACTTTATATAAGAAGTCTTTCTTGACTCCCCCAGCTGCCACTGCCCTCTCCTCCAAAATCACCTTTTATTTTTTTTTGTACATAACTATATTTGAACTCTTGTCTCCTCCAAGAGAATGTAATCCCTCTTTGAGGACAGGGATTATTTCACTTATCTTTTTGTTTCCCAAGTACCAAGCCCATTTCCTGGAACAGAGTAGACCCTTAACAAATGCTTGTTGATTTTTTGATTGATTAATTATCCCATCTTCATGGGGCACAAATCAAACAAAGGATACATGAAATCTTTTTCCTCTCCCTCTCCCTTTCTGTCTCTCTAAACATTTCTAATGTATCTAAAAATAACAAATCTAAATAATCTAACTAACAAAACCTTGCAAATGGAACGCTCTTAGCTTGCTTTAAAGACAAAATTTTTAAAAAAAGAAAAAAAAATATATATATATAGCCCATTAGCATGACAAAAAAAAGTGCTTAAAGAAGAATCTAGTTTCTGGAATGATTTTAAAAACCATTAGTATATCTCAAAATATGAACCCTATTTCCCTCTTTACTAAAGTATTCCTTACCCATTTCTAATGAAAATAGTAGCAAAAGTAAAATGAAGATGAAAAAAAATGCAGAGGCAACCATACAGTATTCAAATCATGGGTCCCAAACCTGAAATATTTTCTTGTTCCTTGTGACTACAAAGCAATGAGACTGATTTCTTTTCATGTTGTGCCTTGTGAAATCAATCCGTCTCATTGCTTTAGAGTCATGCCTCACACATACTCCTTCCTTTATCAAGCTGGATGTAGTAGTTGCCCAAAGAAACATATTCCCTTCTGCAAAATGTTGCTAAAAAGCCAAGTTTAGGGTTTTTATTAAAATGGGAACCCTCAGGACTTGGATGTGGCCTATTTACCGGTCAAATTTTCAGAATGGAGTAGCAAGTGATTTAGGCCAAAGCTAGCAAAAGGGACTAGTCCAAGAGGAAAATGAGCAAGGGAAAAATGTGTTCATAACCATAAAGTCATATCTCTACTTCAAACAACTCTGGAATAGAGAGCCATATTGGCATAAAAGGAGGGACAAAACTTTTTGTCAAAAAACTGAATGTGTTTTGCAGACACCCTCTATTTAATGGCTGTCAGCAATGAGCATGTTGATGTTTTTCACCAATTAGATATGATGCTGACCCTTTTGGCTGGGTTTTCCATGCATGTATTTTGCAAAGCAATGTGGGGGGAAATTGAGAGATGGTGGCAAGGAAGAATCTACTTACCAGTCAAAATTTGTTTTAAAAACATCATATGCTGCATACAATAAAAAATATTCAGAGTGTTTATTTACATTTATAGTAAATTTAGGGAGAATGAACCACCTTTTATGTTTATGCTCCATCCTTGGTTGATCTAAAGAGGCTAAAGTAGGGATTTGCTGGTTTCCATGTATCTCAAATTCTTATGCAAATGGGATTCTGATACCACACCAACACGTTTATAATCAAAGACAATAAGATTCTAAGAAGAATAGATGCACATTATAACTGTAAATGAATGCCACAAAAATGATCAGACAATGCTGGGCTCCAATGAAGAATTCTTATAATTATAAGCTGTAAAATCACTCTGCTGTGTGTTGTTTGTCTCTATTGTTTGTGATGCCTCAGAAGATTGAAAATAACTTCTTTCTTTTCACCATTTGTTCCTTTTCAGCATTTCAAGCATTGATTCCCATTACCCACTCCAAAATGTTGACTGGAGATTAATTTTTACCTAGTATATTCACTTAATAGTCTTTTCCATATCTATGATTTTTTAAATTTTAAAGACCAGTTAAATTTAAAGGAGAAATTAAATATAGATATTTTTAGGTCATGGCACAAAAAAAGGTGGTGGTGGTAGTAGTGAGGCATCTTCAGAGATAAATATTGCCAGAGAAGTATAAAAATATTTAATTAAAAATTTTTTTCACTGGATAAACATTGCTAGGGTCCACAGACTCAGGATATTTTAGGAGAAGAAAATGATGAAAAAATAATTCATTAAATAGCAATCTTTTCTTTTGGATTAAACACTTAGTAGGTTTGAAGCATCTTAATGCAAGAATGCCTTTAAAAAGAAAGTCTATTATCAATTACGATAAAAGGAAAAATAACAGTGGGTGAATGACATCATCTTTAGTATAGATGAATAGAGGTTTGCCAACATTGTAAATTATGATAAAGTATTTAGCTAAGACTTTTGGGATAACCTAATCCACACTAAACACTTCAGCAAGGAAGTTTTATGCTTTTGATTATATAGATGAGAAAGCAAATATAGCAAATTTAATCAACTCACCCAAATTATATTGTAAGTCAGTGGCAAAGACAGAACTAAAATTTCAAAGTTCTCAACCACTAAGCTATAATTCTATACTTTTTAAAAACTTTTTTTTCATTGAACAAAAATCCACCTTCTCTCCCATTCATCCTCTCTACTTCAAAGAAAAAGGAAAAACAAAACCTTCATAACAAAAATACATAGTCACACATATTTGCTAAGCTATATTCCAAAATTTGCTTCCCCCCTCCAATTCTGCTAAGAGAATATGATGCCAATTTACTAGATTATTCAATGCATTACTTAAATGCCTCTATTTTATATCTAAATTTTATATTTTATATAAATATATATTTTATTTATATATTCATACCACACATATCATTCTAATATATTATATGCTTATTTAAATATATTTGTATAATATATTTATAAATATTTATATCTAAATATAGAAGACATGACTCAAGAACACAGGTGCTTTCCATGAATGGTCTTGTCTCTAAGATTTTAATTTGTAAAACAGGTGACTAACTGCCTTAGAAAAAGGAATCTCCTCATCAAAATTCTATCTAAGTGAAGATAGAAGGGCCTGGTATGCTATGGTCCATGGGGTCATGAAGAGTTGTACATGAATGAACAACTGAACAACAAAATACTAATGAAAATACAAGTTTGGTCCAAGACATCAACAACAATAAGCATTTCTATGAAAAGTCTAAAGAGTAGAAAGCTTTTATGTTTTAAATCTGTCATACTGATAAGCTATATAACTACCCTGGGAGGTATTAGGTTCCTTAACACCTTAAAAGCTGTTTGGTTCTTTAATACTTTAACATCCCTTAAGGGGATTAACATCAAACACTAATTGCCACTAAGTGTCAACACTTAAGGCTGCTAGTCTGTTGTGAGACAACATTCTAGATGCTATACATTTGTTAATGCCCATGGATTATGTGTCCAGTATACTGAAGCTCCATAACACCTAAATAAGCATTTACTCCACTTAGTGGTCATTGCGAAATAAATTGCTGGCAAGGGTTCTGAATATCTGAGATGCACGATATGCTATTAAATTAGATGAGATACCTGGATCCAACTCAGTTCCTATTCTGAGAAGGTAACCATTTGAAAAGGTTAAGTGATGCCATTCCAAGGGCTAGCTCTAAACAACAACCAGAATGCTCCTCAAAACACTGAACACTTTTTGTGTTACACATTGCTGAAGTAAATGAGACTTTGTTATTTATTCATAACAATATAAACTATTCATGTTAATTTCTTAAGGGTGGAAAGAATCAGGTATGTTCTTTTTTTTCCCCCTCAGCATTTTTTTTTTTTTGGTGAGGCAATTGGGGTTAAGTGACTTGCCCAGGGTCACACAGCTAGTGAGTATCACATGTCTGAGGTCACATTTGAACTCAGATCCTCCTGACTCCAGGGCCAATGCTGTATCCACTGCGCCACCTAGCTGCCTCCAAAATATGAAACGCTTCACGAATTTGCATGTCATCCTTGTGCAGGGGTTAGTACTAATCTTCTTTCTATCGTTCCAATTTTAGTATATGTGCTGCCTAAGCAAGCACTAGGTATGTTCATGATATTTCTCTAGGCACCAGAGTGGAACACCACGGGGTCCTTGGCTTTCCTCTATCTGACTCTGATTCAAGATATTTAAAAGAATTTGTCTTTTTATATAAGGGAAAATATTGAATAGCTATTATTTCTAGTTAAATAAAATTATACTCTTTTGCTTGAGCTTACACATATACATACATAGAGGATAAATCACTAAAACAATCATGTGACAAATCTTGGCATTCTTCCCTTGTCTTTTAACTGTACACTCAATCTAGTTTTATTCATCAAATCCAGGATTTGTTTCTCAACCACCTCATCAGTCATTGCTCAGCACGAGTGGACTATTATAGAACCTTCTTTCCAAATGTACTGGCTGACTTCAGGCATGTGAAGAACTTAAATGATTTTAAGTTCTTGATCCACAACATGACATTGCTCAGAGTGGTTTTATCATGTGAGGGTAGCCTATTATGTTTCCATTAATAAACACAGGCACTTGAGATGCCCTCTTGCAAGAGATATCAGGGTAAATTGAAAGAGATTTGAGAGAACTTGTTAATATCTCCTTTACTCATCTTTTTGAAAACTTCTATTAAGGCTTTTGGTAAGAATGGTGATTATAGAACCACAACATTCAGTTTCAAGAAATGATAGTATATATATGGTGTATTTAGAAACACCACAGAATGTAGCATTAAATACACACGTCTCATCATTCTTTGACACTGAGTAGCAGATGACATTCATAGCCATGGCTCTGGCACAATAATTGAGCCCTTTATGCAGACAAATAGACTTTAAAGGCTTTGTCTCCCATTATTATCCCTGCTTCAGGGGAAAGGGCCTTGAGGGTAAGTTGGTCTCACTTTCTAATGTCACCAGCCTCTATGTTACATATCAGAGTCTCAAGAGGCTCTCTTTGGAATGGTGATAGCTGGACTAAATAAAAACTTGGATGAAGTCCTCAATGTCTGAAGGAACCACAGTTTTGTCAATGTAGGTGTCGCCTCGTGCAATGCAGATCACAAATGTTACCACACACAGTAGGCCTTACTATTGCTCTAGAGATTGGAGAACAGACTCCTCTCTTATCTCTCTACCTTCATATTCTCTCCACCTAAATAGACCCCAAATGGCAGGAAAATTGATTTTGTTGTGTCCAGCACTCTAACTTTCAATACATTGCCATAGTATATTGTCTGTGAAAACATTTTAGAGATTTAATAGCACTAATAAAAGAAAATATATAATGGATTTTAAGGATAAATAATTCAGCAGGAAAAATACTGTCAAATTCACCTGTAGATATTCCATTTCTTCATCTTTTTTCTGATTCTTCTCCAGAAGATCTATAACAAAACAGATAAAATAACCCTTAAATATAATGAAGGAATTAGTTACCCATTATTGTCAATCCAATTTCATTCACCATGTGAGAAAAGCCATGCTGGGGAAATAAGAAGATAGTGGATGTCCAAGTAACTGGAGAAATGATGAGGGGCAGCTAGGTGGCAAAGTGGATAGAGCACCAGCCCTGAAGTCAGGAGGACCTGAGTTCAAATCCGGACTCAGAACAAACACTTGACACGTACTAGCTGTGTGACTTTGGGCAAGTCACTTAACCCCAATTGCCTCACCAAAAAAAAAAGAAAGAAATGATGAGAGTCAGAGAAGCTTTGTCAAACTTAAGTCTGTTTCTTGTAATCTCTATACTCCTTTAAGGCTCAGCTCAAGTGTCACTTCCTGTATAAAGATCTTCCTAGACTGATAGATTTAGAAGTGGAAGGAAGCTCAGAGGTCAACTAGTCCAACCCTTTAACATCATAAATGAGGAAAATGAGGCCTTTGGAAGTGGAGTGACTTGCCCAAGATCACAAAGGAAAGGAGCAAGCCAGAATTTGAATCTAAGGGCCTCTGACTCTAAATTCAGTGCTCTTTCCACTTTTCCATCTCTGTCTCTTGATTCCATTTATTTAGTTGCTAGAGCTTTCTCTCCCAAATTACCTGGTACTTATCTGTATATATTTGGTGTATACTTACATATGTATATATGAATGCATGTGTGTACTTGTGTATGTATGTACGAATGTATGTATGTATGCATGTGTATACTTGTGTGTATGTATGTATATGTGTGTGTATGTATTATGAATGTATATATGTATTGTTCCCCTTTTCCTCCCTCTCCCACTCATAATATGCTCCTTGAGTACAGGGGCTATCATTTTTCTATCTTTGTATCTTCAGTGTTTAGCATAGTACCAGATACATAGTAGCCACTTAAACATCTGAACCGAGATCAGTATATCAAGAATGAATAATTAGCTAAATGATCCTGTAGATATTCCATTTCTTCACCAATTATTATGCCAGAGCCATGGCTATGAATGTCATCTACTACTCAGTGTCAAGGAATGATGAAACATGTGTATTTAATGCTACATCCCGTGACATTTACAAATACACCATTCTTCATATGACTCTAGACACCATGGAATATACTAGGATTTGGTTATAGAACTTAAATAACACAAATGATTTATTTATTTAGTTCACTATTTCTAAACTTCCAAGTAGCCCAAAATATCTCTTTTGAAAAAAGAAAATTCCCTTTTAAAGAAAGTTAGAAACAAACCATTTGCTCATTAAATGCAACTTCTCTAGCCAAGCTCTATTCCAGGGTCAATTTTTTTTTAATAACCATATTAGAGCTCATTGGAATGATGGGTGGGGGAGAAAGTGAATCTATTAATGGAAGAAGAAATACCACCTTAACATCAGAGTCACAACAATTATCACTTCCTCCAAAAAGGGTGGGAATCACTGAAGCTACATCTGACGAAGAAGTTGGCAACATCTTATAGAAATCAGTGGTTAAAAGGGGAAAGCACTCAACAAAAAAGACCTAGGATGGGTAAGGCTATGGTGCCTCAGTGCCCCACATTCTTTTATTAATTTGCTATAAAGGAAAATCTATTTGGCACAGAGTATTTGCTGCCTACAGCTACACCACCCAGTGCTGTGATCTTATTAGATCTCACAAACTGAAGAGGGTTGGGCTGAGTCAGAACTTGGATGGAAATCGGCAAGAAACACCTACAGCAGCATACATTAAAATATTAGCATTTACCTTACTCTGCTGATTGATATAGCTCACCAAGATGTTATGCCACACGAAAGAAAAATACAACTTGAAAATATTCAATAAATGTCACAGAAAGACGAATGAAAATATTTTATGGGCACCATACTACGTGTAGCAAGAAACAGTAATTCAGTGGGTGGCATACTTATGTAAGGCAATGTTATACTATTCAGCAAAGAACATACCAAAGATGGCTTATTTCACAGAATATGAGAATTTTAGAGTTGGAAGGCATCTGAGAGGTTGTCTAGTCCAGTGCCTACAATATTCCTGACAAGTGGGCACCCTGAACAAAAGGGAAGCTCTGGAAGCATCCCATCAAACTCTTGAGGGATTTTAATTGTTAGGAGGTTTGCCCACCAATTCTCCTAGAAGGCTGCTTACATCTGCCTTTGTAACTTCTGCCCAGTGCTCTCATTCTGCCCTCTGTGGCAAATCAGGACAATTCTAATCCTTTTCTCACATGGCAGCCCTTCAAATATCCAAGCAGATGGCCATAACGACCCCCAACAAGTACCAGAAGTGGCATTTCAGAATTACTGGAGAGACACAGTTCAGAAGTGAACATGACCTTTTGAGGCTCTCTGGCTAAAGGAACTACAAAGGGTGTCCTTATTCTCTAATCTCTTGCATATGTTTCTGCTGAAACCTCCTGTAAATTGTGCTCTATCGATCAGAAAAGTAAGGTAAATGACAACACTGTGGCACAGTCTGTTGTAGGGCCCTTCATCATGGCATGAAGATAACCTTAAGGTTTCAGTGGTTGTGACAAGATCACATAAGCTCTGGAGGGTAAAGCTGTGTGAAAGAAAAGTGACCAATGTACCAACTCCTGACATTTTTACATTTTCATGGTAAGGCTTTGTTATAATCATTCAATAATCTAAAGGAGCTAAATTTAACATACACTACTGTGTTTAAGCTATAAACGCAACTTTTAGCCACATTTGAATTGTTCGATAAACACTTATTAAACACCTACTATGTGTAAATGCAGAAATTTCCCAATGAAAGCTAATCAACGAGTAAAGGGTACAAGCATGTTCCACTGATCTGAACTCAAATCACTATTAATCTTGGGTTACAGAGTTGTGATCTTTCTGAGAAGGAAATCTGAAAATTTTATGTACTTTATGTCTCTTTCTTATGAAATAGTTACTGGAGTCCAAGGCTGCTTCTAGGTCTTGAAAATCCAGATTACCCTAAAAGATCAGCTGTTAGCAGTGAAACACCTTCATTGGACGTGTCCAACAGGAACAATGGCCAAGTTTTAGTTTAAGCTTTTATTTAACAGCTGGTGTTCTTAAATCAAAAGACAAAAGGCAACTGCAAGTAACAGGGGATAGTCCTCCTTGGAGAGGTAAATAAAGGAGCTGGCAGCATTGGTATTAATGTCTGTCCAAATGCAACAAGAAATATTATAAGGATCTTTGGAAATTTCACAGTGCAGTGCTCAAGATGAATATTTGCCACAAGAAAAAAAAAACACCATCAAAATAATTGTAGTTTTTATATACCACATATACCATATATGATGGGGAAATTCTATGAAGAACTCAATGAGATATTTCATATTAAATCAAAATGTATTCTGATAATAGCTCAGTGACCCTTATGCAAAGGTAGACATAGGTAAGGATGCTGAAAAACATACTGAAAAAAATGGTTCAGGAATAAGGAATGAGAGAGACAAAGATGTGTATAGAACAAAGAATCGTCATTCTCATACATCATGAATACTTCTGAGAACAAATAGGGAGTTTCTGGATGTGGTGAACACTCAATAACATTGGAAAAATTAAATAAAGTATATTTTAATGGACAGCAAATGACTCCTCAATAATATAGAAGTCATTTCTG